ATATATATATATATATATATATATATATATATATATATATATATATATATATATATATATATGCATACTCAGCATCTGCCTCTCCTTCTTCTCCTGTCCTACACTGCATCTATCACTTAACTCCTTAATCATTACTCCCAGTTGCCTCCACCACCACACACACACGCACACCCACACACTGCATGCACTGCATGCACTGCATGCAGTGCACAAGCATTACGAACGGGACTCTCACTACGGTTCCCCTGGGGCCCCTATGGGGGCCCCCAGGGGCCCCCATAGGGCCCTCCTGGGCCCCCCTGCGGCCCTCATAAGGCCCTACGGGGGCCCCCGTGGGGCCCCCCTAGGGCCGCCACGGGAGCCCCCGTGGGGGCCCTAAGGGCGGGCCTAGGGGGCCACTATGGGGTCCCCCATAGGGCCCTCCTGGGCCCCCCCTGGGGCCCCCTCGGTGCCCCCGTGGGGCCTCCGTGTTGCCCTCCTCAGCCCCTCTGGGGCTGCATGCGGGGTTGGTTAGCTACAGGTCAACCCCCAAAAAGAAATGGTGAAAAAGAGCCACGACAGCTTACAGTTTCAGGTGTACGTACACCTCAGGCACCCCCCAGGTGTACATACACCTCAACACCCCCTCAGGTGTGGTGTATGTACACCTGAAACCCTAAACCCTAAACCCTAAACCCTAAACCCTCAGGTGTATGTACAGCTCAAGGGGTATCAGCCCCCTAAAGATTTTGAGTTGGGGATTTCCATGTGGGGGGAAGGTCACTCGCCCTGCAGCAAAAAAAGCAGAAAAAGTTTTTTGTTTTCAGGTGTATGTACAGCACCACTAAACCCTAAACCCTAAACCCTAAACCCTAAACCCTAGACCCTAAACCCTAGACCCTAAACCCTTATCCGTATAGAATAAAAAGACAGCAAAACACTGTGTTCACTGTATACACCTCAGCTGCATGCATCTGCATGCTGCTGTGTGGTGTACATACACCCCAATCCTTACCTCCCCCCAAACCCTCCTCTCATTGGGCCCGCGCTTGAGGGGCCCTGGGGGCCCCCTCTGCCTCCTCCTCCTCGCCGGTAGCGGTGGCCGCCACCTCTCTGCTGCTGCTGCTGCTGCTGCAGCAGCTGCGGTTGCTGTTGCTGCTGTGGCTGCGGCTGCGCCGCTGCA